ACTGATATGAGTTCCCCAAAGCCCCTGGTGATAAAACAGTCTCTTCCGCCTCCCAGCTCCTTCCCCTTGTGGGTCCCTTAGATAGGACTCCAACAGAGCTTACGAAAACCCTGCTCTTTTTATGGTTTTGAATTGCCAATCTGGCCTTATCCAGGGAACCTCAGAAACACATCACCTATGGACCCTAATAAAGGCATAAGCTGCATGTCCTGCTGCTTGCCCTCTGCCTGTACCCTGCCTTGACCTCCTGTGTGGCCCTCCAGGTGTGCTGTGTACCTCATCCAGGACCTGTGAGTACAGTAATAAACTTCTCTATTTCACTTTCCCTTGTGGTCTTTGTTGAATCTTGGCTCACCATCCAACTCCCCACCCAGGACTCTACGTAACAAACGTTATTTTAGCAAAACTCAAGCACTTAAACGGGGCCAGCAGACCAGGGACTTTCCTGGGTTGCTGGAGCTGCTCCATATCCTGAATGTGGTGGTGGATACACACATATATACATGTGCTAAATTCGTAGAACTGGGCTCCAAAAGAGGGTGATTTTATTGCATAATATTAAAAAAAAGAAATAACAGAGTGCCATGGACTGCATGCAGTACTATCCCCACTACTTGGTAAATTCTTATTTTAGCACAACTATATTTTTATATATTTTAAAAATATATTTTATGTTATATATTATATATCAGGTTTATATATCAAATATATGTAATTTCTCTCTAACTCTTCTAACCACTATTCTGAAATGGTGGGCAGGTATTACACTCTCATTATTAAAAATGAAGAAATTAAATTTCATTAAAAGGCTAGTACGCTATCAGGGAAGCAGTAGGCATAAAGTTTCTCACTAATCAAAAATACGTAAGGCATAAACATATAGAATTAATTTTAAAACGTGGGTCTCACACGTGGTTACTACTCTAGCTTTCTATGCTAAACCGCCATTTCCACGGTGACATGCAAATTGAGTGATCGGAGGCGGAGCCTGGTCCAGCGAAAGTCACATATGCAAATTGAGGGTTTGGGAGAAAAGCCTTTCCAGTGTCAAGATTCATATGCAGGAATCTTGAGGGTAGGGGCTGTGCCTGGTGCAAGCTTCGTATGCAAACCAGGGGTGCTGGGGTGGGGCCTGGCTGGGCGCCCGCCCACTGTTGCTAGGTTACAGCTTGTTCACGCAGGTTGCCAAGCAGGGCATCTCTTGGCATCTCTAGGGGAACACAACCGAAAACTCTTGACCCCGCATGACCCTAATTCCGACTTTGCCTATGTGTTGATTGTGTCCTGCCCACCCCAATCCCGATCACACCTCAATCTTCCCGTCAAAGCCCCTGCCCCATGGGAGTCCATGCCAAGCGCTCTGTCCACCCACCCCTGCCTCCCGCACCCAGGGCGGTCAGTCGCCTTGGCACTTTCACCCTATCACGACACCGCCCTCGCGGTGTCGAGCGCCGCCGCAAGGAACCCCGTCCCTCTGGGGACTTTGGCCTGGCTCCAACTTGCTCAGAGCCAGCGGGGGAGCCTTCTGTTGTCCGGCCTCACTCCAGGCCCCAGTCCGCCCCCAGCCCCGCCGCAGCCAGCCTCTCCCACCCAGGGCCACCCCATGCACTGTCACCGTGAGAGACCGCTCCTCTCTGTGACCCCTGACTCCATGCCCCCCACCCCCCAACTCCGGCCAGACCCCCGCCCCCATCCCTCCGACGAGGGGTGTCCCACCACCACCACCTCCCATGCCAAGTGAGTGAAGCACACGCAGGGGGTCTCTTGAAACACTTTATTGACTCGCAGTGACTGTGCCAAAGGCGGCGGGCAGGCCGGGGCCGCCCGGGCTGTGTGGTCGGTCGGTGAGCGGGCCTGGCGCCTGATGGCCGCGCCCCTGGGGGCCGGGGACCCAGGTGTCGTTGGGCAGCTAGGGCTGGGCCAGGGCCACCTGGGAGATGGTGCTATAGTCCTGAACAAGTCGCTGAGCAGCGTGTTGCTGCGGGCCGCCACGTCCACCAGCTCCGGAGTGAGGCGCCTCCTGCTGCTGTTCTGGGCCTCATGGCGTGCCAGCTCCAGGACCCTGGCCGCCAGGTACTGGATGATGGCCACTAGGTAGACGGGTGCGGACGAGCTCAGGCGCTGGGCATAGTGGCCCTCCCACAGGAGGCGCTCCATGTGGCTCACGGAGAAGGACAGCTCGGCTCGGGCGGTGCGGGAGCGGCGACCGGGTGACCCTCGACGGCCCCTCTTCCCCGGCATGCTGGCCGTTGGGCGTGCTTTCTGCGACGGCCTCGCTCTGCGGTGCGCTGGGATGAGGTGCGGCGGGATGAGGGGCGGTCGGTTGTGCCTGCTGGTCCCAACATCTCAAGACAACCGGTGTTCTCAGGCCCCTCCTCCGTATCGTAGCGACCATAGGCCGGGCCCTCATTGGTCGGGGAGCACCCTGTGAGGTCACTGCTTTCCCATAACCCCTCCCCCACCCCCACCTCACCCTGCCCCCACCCTCTCCGCCGGGGTCCTGGGCCTGGAAAGAAATGGCGCTGGCAGGATCCTGCTCGCTGTGCTCGCTGGACCCTCTCTTTGGTGGAACTCTCACTGTCCACCAGACGGGAACTTTGTACAGAGAAGGCAGCTAATGGCGGACCATCCAGGGGCACCAAGTATACACTGGCGGTGCTGGGCCACCATCACGACTATATATCTGCTTCCAAATGAATAATATTCCTGGCTGAATAATATTCAGCAGGCTGAATAACATTGCAGTGCGTGGCTAGACCACACATGTTGTGTATCCGCTCAGCAGCTGATGTACATTTGGGTGACTTCCACGTTGTGCCCGTCGGGCATAGTGCTCTGGTGAACATTCCTGTGCAGGGTTCTGTTTGAACACCTGTTTTCAACTCAGTTGGGTTTACAACCCATGGGATAGATCTATGGGTTTATTTCTGGACTCCACTGATCTATGTGTCTATCCTTATGCTAGTACCACATAGTTTTGATAACTGAAGCTTTGGACTAAGTTTTGAAATAGGGAAGTGTGAGTCCTCCAACTTTTTTCTTCTTTTCCAAGATTATTTTGGCTATTCAAGGTCACTTAAAATTCCGTATGCATTTAGGATTGGCTTTTACATTTCTGTAAAACAGAGCGTTGTGATTTCCATAGGCATTTCATTAAATCTCTAGACAACTTTGGGTGGGATTGCCATCTTAAAAGTATTAAGTCTTCCCGTCCACAAAATCTGCTGTCTTTCCCCTTTTCTTTTTAAGATCATCATTAATTTCTTTCAGCAGTGCTTTGTAGTTTTCGGTGCACAAGCCTTGCACCTCCTTGGCTAAATTTATCTCTGTGTGTTTTATTCCTTTTGATGTTGTGTGAAATAGAACTGTTGTCAATTTCATTTTGGATTATTTTTTCATTGCTAGGATATGGAAACACAACAGATTTTTGTGTGTTGATCTTGTATACTGCAACTTGGTTGAATTCGTTTGTTAACTCTAATAGTGTTTTGTGGATTCTTTAGGGTTTCCTGTACAGAAGAGCATGTCATCTGAGAATAGAAGTAGTTTAACTTCCTTTCCAACTTCGATGCTTTTCATTTCTTTTTCTTGCCTCATTGCTCTGACTAGGACTTCTGTTACAGTCTTGAGTAGAAGCACTGAAAGCAAGCATTCTTCTCTTGTTCCTGATGTTAGGGGAAATGCTTCCAGTCTTCCACCATTGAGTGTGACATTAGCTAGGGTATTTCATAAAAGCCTTTTATTTTGTTGAGGAATTTCCCTTCTATTCTTAGTTTGCTGGGTGTTTTTTGTTTGTTTGTCTTTTAATCATGAAAGTTGTTAGATTTTGTTGAATGCTTTTTCTGCATCAACTAAGATGATCATGAGGGTGTTTTCCCCCTTCATTTTATCAATGTGGTTTTGATTAATCAGTTTTCTTATGTTGAGCCATCCTTGCATTCCTGGGATAATTCCTATTTGGACATGGAATGTAATATTTATAATATGCTGCTGGATTCAACTTGCTAGAATTCTTCCGAGGATTTTTGCATCGATATTCATAAAAGCTATTGGTCTGTAATTTTTCGTATATCTAAGAGTGGAATTGCAGTGTCATATGGTAATTCTATGTTTAACTTATTGAGGAACCACCACCCTACTGATTTCCACAGCAGCTCTACCATTTTTTCATTCCCAACAAGCAGTGTATGTGTGTCCCAATTTCTCCACATCTTCTCCAAAACTTGTTATTTTCTGGGGGTGTTTTTGCTTCGTTTTGCTTGTATTAGCTATCCTAGTGGGTGTGAACTGGTATCTCATGGTGATTTTGATTTGCATTTCTCTAATGGCTAAATACGTTGAGCATCCTTTCCTGTGCCTCTTCGGCATTTGTACATTTGCTTTGGAGGAATGCCTATTCAAGTCCTTTGCCCATTGTTTAACTGGGTTGCTTATCTTTTTGTTGTTGACTTGTAAGTTTTCTTTATGCGTTCTGGAAAATAGACCTTTCTCAGATATATGATTTGCAAATGTTTCTGCCATCCTATGGGTTGGGCTTCAAAGTGGCTCAGTAGTTGTGGTGCACAGGCTTAGTTGCTCCGCGGCATGTGTGATCTTCCCGGACCCGGACCAGGGCTTGAACCCGTGTCTCCTCTGCATTTGCAGGCGGATTCTTAACCACTGTGCCACCAGGGAAGCCCACTTCTTTTTAAACCAACGTTTAGACAGTGTCATTAGATAAACATCCTTTTCAATGCTAAAACCCGAGTCACTTGTGGCCTTTTCCTGGAAGAGATTTTTGCTGCTGTCAGGTTACAAGAACAGCATAAGAGGCCATTTTCTGGGCATGGAGCCCAGGATTCAAAGGGAAGCTCTAGAGAACATCTGGTCTGCTTGATATATCGAAACTGCATGTGTGTGTTTGTGTGTATGTGTTTCTCTCTGCTGACTCATAGTATTGAAGCCTCTTTGGAAACTCCCCCACCCTTCTAGCCAGCCAGTTTATACACACGCCATCGGCTCCTCCTTGATTCAAATGTTAGGTCAAGAGGAAGAAAGAGAACAAATTCAAGAGTTACTCTCAAGCATCTAGAATTTTCTGCACCTCTTGAAGAGAGACTAGCCCAGCTCTGACTATTACAAGCTGGACTTTCCTCTTAAAGCACAACCTTCATTTAAGCCTTTGGATAAAACTGGAAGAAAAGAATCTGTGAGTACTGTGGACTGCACAGAAGGCAGGGGGCTGAAAACTGGCAATAAAAACAGAAAGATGGCAGACCCGAGGCCCAGCAGTCAAACAGACCCTGAAATTGAGCTTTTTGTGAAGGTAAGTTTTCTAGCTATAATGAGAGCATACAGAATGTATTATTCCTTGACACTGGACCTCAGCTTTTTTTTTTAAGTCAACATTTCAGCTAGAGATAGGAAATAATTTTGTAATTTTATACCTACTCTGAGTCCTAGAAGAATACCTGGGTGTTTGGCTGCTCTTATATAACAATAGAAAAACACCCCATCTGAAAAAAGCAAGAAGATATGGTAGAAAGACAACTAGACTGGCTGGTAGTTAGAACAAGTAAATTGTATTATTAGTGACTTCCTATGTAACCTTGGACAAATCCCTCCCTCCCTCTTTGTTTTTCCATCTGTACAATAAAGGAGCCTGACAAAATGATCCTTAAGGGCTTTCCAGTTCTCATAATCTGTGTTTTATGAGATATGTTTTGGAAGGCCTGAATGTGGGGAGGAGAGGGCCAAGAATGGCCTGAGAGCCTCATTCCCACACATGGTCCAAATAGAGCTTTCAAAAATTCTCCCACAATGGATGAACATCACAGCAGGGTCAAACAGACACTAGAGGAGAAAAAAGCCAGGAGTCTGTGTGCCTGTTATATGAGTAGGAGGTTTTTTGCCTTGGCTTTTTTTTTTTTAATGTCTTAACATTTCAGAAAAGCCCTTTGGAAAACCCCTAAAGCAGGAGAAAGGAACATGTGTTTCTAAATTAGCTCATCAAGAAAAAGAAACAATTTTGTACGGGTTATTCCAAGTAGAAATTACATAGTTTCCTAAATCCTTGCTTATATTAACTATTTTTCTCTATATTTTCATTGACTATTGGAAGTATTGAGGATGGAAATAATAAAAACAAACTCTTATATCATGCTTAACCCTTTTCTAACACTTTATGTATATTATCTCATTTAGTCCTAACAACTTAGAAGGTAGGTTAATAGTAGTAAAGTAGTATCATCAGTAGCAGTGGTGGTAATAGTACTCAAAACTTTAGTAATATTGTCCTCATGATTTCTAGGTAAGTAAGCTAAGGAAATAAGGTTTAAGTAACTTGCCTCTAAAACTACATCACCTCTTGATGGCCTACAAAGGCATAAAATAAGGTGTGCTTACCAAATTTTAGGTTAAACATCTGTTGGCCAAAGTAATACTTTTACAATAATTTTAAAATATTTGACAACTGGTCACATATATACATCAAGGACATAATTAACCAGCCTTTACAAAATTATAGGAGACTCTTGAATTCCTGCATAGCAAAACAATCCAAGTAAGTGTTTGCTTGACTGTGGGGCATAAGAGCTACTTCTCCTATCTCTGGATTCTAGCAAAACATGTCACTGCTCAGACGCAACATAAGTAAGCCTTAACTCCTAACTGACTTTTTATAACTACCAATTCCAAACCAGAGGTAATAAGTCTCTTCATAGGGTAACTAGTTTCTTTTGTCTAAACTTGTTTATTCAATCCAATCAAACTCCTCTAACCAGTTGTTTGTATTGATCTGTGTGTTTATCTTCATAGACTTCCCATAATTTGGATGGTAATCTAGACAGGGGAAGTTAGGAAATCACACGTTGGATGAGCAAATGTTAAATTAAATAATAACTTTCAGGTTAAAAACCTAATCATTTATTGAGTACTTATGGCAGGGGCTGTGCTAAGTGGTTTATTATTAACCCTATTTTATGGTTACAGAAACTAAAGCAAAAAGTAGCTAAGTAGCTTTGCATAAGGTCACATAGCTAGTAAATGGCAGGGTCAAGATTCCAGTCCCTTAAAATAGCTGTGCATAATTTTAATTCATTGTTTTCAACTTGGCACACTTTTTAGTAACATTTCCCAGAATTTCATTAGATGAAATCCTCTAGATGTTAGCTTATCTAATGACATTGATACAAGCCACAGATTTTCTGGAAGAACCTTTAGTATCATCTGATCTGGGTTTTTGTTTTGCTTTGCTTTGAGATGGATTCCAAAGATCTCTAGAAGTTTCATAGAAGAGGGGGAATAGGGGCTGAGAGGGGTGAAAATGTTAATGAGAAAATTTAAAAAGCACTACTGTTTACCAGTTGTATCTCCCTTATAATGTGGTATCTTTCTAAAGATTAAATGAGTCTGTAATTTCCCCAGCTATGTCTGGGGACCCTACCACAATTTCCCAATGCCACTGATGGGATCCCTACAAGAAAGTAAGTCCTTTCCTGACACAATTAAGAATTTATATCACACCCCCCCCATGTGTTCCATGGAGTGAGTGAAAACATTGCCTTTCAACTCTGAATGATTTGGGCAAGATTTATATCCAGGAACTAAGAACAAAGGATTTTCTAAAAGAACACATTTTGTTTTCTCTAAATGCAGAGTTTATCTTATTGGTTTGTTGTTCATTGATAAATGGAGTTTTTGTGTTCTCTACCAGTCTAAAATTAAGTTTTCATAGATTTGTACATAACATTATAGACTCTAACATTTGGGCCAAAATCCTGAATGTAATATTTTTGTCTTTATTGATAAATGTAAAATAGAAAAAGAGATGATACTCTTCTCTGAATGTTCAGACTATTTTCAAATTATCTTAGAACTATCATAAAGACTATTATAAAGACTGATTAATAAAAAATCCAATAAAACTATTAGATGGGAGAAAGCAGTGTTTAAGGAGTGTGGATTGTGGAGTAGACAGTCCTGGATTAGCTACATGAGAAGAGTGTATGGGTCAACTCTTGTCTAGCTGAGTGTACTTGAGCAAGTCAGCTTCTCTGAACTTCAATTTCCTCATCTGTAAAACAAGAGTAATGACAGAACCTACCTCACAGGATCATCTTCATTATAAGCATTAAATAAAATAAATTTTTAAGACACAGTAGTTGTTAACATAGCAAACATTCAATAAATGTCAGATGTTCCAGCCATTACTATTTTTCATGTTTAGAAACATAGATCACAAACACAAAGAGAAAAAGTTTTTTTGGTGAATGACCACATCGTGGTAGTTTTCACATCCATTTCTCCAGGTGGTGGGTCAAAAAGATCTTGCTGTGATTTTTGTCATAGAGTGTTCTGCCTATGTTTTCCTCTAAGAGTTTTATAGTGTCTGGCCTTACATTTAGGTCTTTAATCCATTTTGAGTTTATTTTTGTGTATGGTGTTAGGGAGCGTTCTAATTTCATTCTTTTACGTGTAGCTGTCCAGTTTTCCCAGCATCACTTATGGAAGAGCCTGTCTTTTTTCCATTGTATATTCATACATTTTGTGTAGTGGCACTTTAAATCAGCATTATTATAAACAGAAAAAAATTCAGTTTTCCTGTAAAATTGTGCTACATTTCCCCCACACCTCCCTGTTTCGCCTTTCCTTTTGCCAAAGGCAACCCACCCTTCCTGCTGTATCTATTATCAGACTTCATTCTTCTTCCTGCCTAATCAAGTTTCCATTCACTAACCCCAGTTATGATTGGATCTTTAGCCTGACTTCTGTTACAAAAGAAATTCAGCTGCCAAGGTGGTTACCTCCTCCCATACCTCTTCACTCCCTGACGCCACAAAAGAGCAACAATAAACATTATTTCCTCTGTTGTACTCACTGCCAGGAAAAGGAAAATTTACCAAAAAATAAGAATTATGTCCAAGATCAAGGTGTCAGTATGGTCAGTTTCTGGTGAGAACTCTCTTCCTGGTTTATTATAGGTAGGTGCCTTCTTGCTGTGACCTTATATGCATAGTTGTTGGGGGAGATGAAGAAAGAGAGAAAGAAAAAGAGAGAGAGTTCTGGTTTCTTCTTATAAGGGCATTAATCCCATCGCAAGGGTTCTACCCTCATGACCTCATCTAAACCAATCACTTCCCAAACACCTCACCTCCAACTACCATCACGTTGGGGGACAGGGATTCAACATTTTAATTTGGGGGGAACACAATTCACAAATCCAAAGTAGATAGCAGTGCACTTCACAGGATTAGGAACTCTAAAGAGTAGGTAAGTGTGTGGAGTAAAGAAAAGGGAAAGAATTCACTTTGGGACATGTTGAGATTGAGGTGTCTAAAACTTGGATCTCCCCTCAGGAGACAACATCAGCTATAGCCTTCTCAAGGAGAGGCTCCCCTTTCTTCCTCATTTCTATTACCACTGAGGGTGGCGATGAGGTAGATGTCTTTAGATGTCCTTGCTCCTCATTCTTGTTTCCAGACCATTCTATCTCTCCCATCCAGAGAAATATCTCGGTTGTCTCATAATATCAGACTAAACCAACCACTACCCCTCCTTGTTATAGTAGTCTTCCCAATCCCAGGTCACTTTCCCTTACTTCTTAAGGATTTTATTTCCTGGATCATTGTCACACTCTTCAACACTATGCCTATCATAATTCTTGGTGATTTTAATATCTACACAAATGACCCTTCCAACACTCTGTCCTCTCACATCCTTGGCTTTCTGTCCTCCAGTGACCTTGTTCTTCATAATCTCTCAGGCACTCCCTTCCATGGTTATACCCTTACCTTTGTTATTGCAACGTCTGCAATCGCTGCATAATATCATTTATTTGAGGGGTTTTCTGTTCTTCTTTTTGAACTTTTCCATTTTAATACACTTTATTGAGGTATAATTTACATAAAGTAAGCTGTGCTCATTTTTCACTGAAGTGTCTCTGATTTACAATGTTGTGTTAATTTCTGCTGTACAGCAAAGTGATTCAATTACATATATATATATATATATATATATATATATATACACATCCTTTTTCATATTCTTTTCCATTATGGTTTATCACAGGATATTCAATATAGTTCCCTATGCTTTACAGTAGGACCTTGTTATTTATCCATTCTCTACATACTAGTTTGCATCTGCTAATCCCAAACTCCCAGTCCATCCCTCCCCCACCCTCTTTCCCCTTGGCAACCACAAGTCTCTTCTCTATGTCTGTGACTCTGTTTCTGTTTCATAGCTATGTTCATTTGTGTCATATTTTAGATTCCACATATAAGTGATATCATATGGTATTTGTCTTTCTCTTTCTGACTTACTTTGCTTAGTATGATAATCTCTAGGTCAATCCATGTTGCTGCAAATGGCATTGTTTCATTTTTTATGGCTGAGTAGTGTTCCATCATATATGTATATATATGGTATATACTATATATATACCATTCCATTATATATGTATATTATATATACCATTCCATTATATATATAATGGATATATATATATACATATATATATATATATATCACATCTTCTTAATCCATTCGTCTGTCAATGGACACTTAAGTTGCTTCCATGTCTTGGCTAGTCTAAATAGTGCTGCTATGAGCATACAGGTGCATTTTCAAATTATAGTTTTGTCTGGATACATGCCCAGGAGTAGGATTGCTGTATCATATGGTAACTCTGTTTAAATTTTTTAAGGAACCTCCATACTGTTCTCCATAGTGACTGCACCAATTTACGTTCCCACCAGCAGTGTAGGAGGGTTCCCTTTTCTCCACACCCTCTCCAGCATTTATTATTTGTAGACTTTTAATGATGGTCATTCTGACCAGTATGAGGTGGTACCTCATTGTAGTTTTGATTTGCCTTTCTCTAATAATTTGCTATGTTGAGCAAAAGATGAATTTTTAAATGAGTGGTGTTAAGACAACTATTAACTATTTGTAAAATAATAAAATAAAAATAATAAATCTGGAGTCCCAATACATTCCTTATGCCAAAATAAATTCTAAATAGATGAAACAAATGCAAAAATGAAACCGTAAAGTTACTAGAGGAAAACATGAGGGAACATCTTTATAGTAAAACAAAATAAGAAAGTAATTTTTTTCTTTGCAATCTTGATGTACATAACAGCTGTGTAAGCAGATCAGGAAAACCAGATTTCATAAAGGAAAACAATATAAGATTTTATGTAAAATTTTAATTTTACATAAGGCATTGTTTAAAAATTACATGTAACTTTATCAAAAAGAGTTAGTGTCTTTAGTATACAAGTAATTTTTCCAAAGTAATAAGGAAAAGGTCATCACCTTAATAGATAAATATAAAATTGTCATGAACAAACAAGTCGCAGAATAAGGAAATCAAAGTTCCAATGAAAATACTGAATATACCTTTCAAGAAGGAAATTTGGCAGGATCTATGAAAATGGAAAATGAACATAGTCTTTAGTCAGCATTCTGTTGTTATGTACTCATCACTCTGGTAATTTTACATACAATGAAATTATTTGCTTCATTATCTCTCTCTGCCCACAGATGGTAGAATTCATGAGATTAAGGACTACCAACTTTGTCTCTATCAACTAGTTTATTTCCCAGCAGGCACTCAATACATACTTATTGAGCAAATGAATGAATGAAGCCTTTCTTTATCTTAATAGGCTGGAAGTGATGGGGAGAGTATTGGAAACTGTCCCTTTTGCCAACGCCTTTTTATGATCCTCTGGCTTAAAGGAGTTAAATTCAATGTGACTACTGTTGACATGACCAGGTAAGACAAATCAGGACATGTTTCATTCTAGGGATTAAAATCAGTAGACACCAATACAATGTTGGTGTTTGCATAATGTGTACTTTATCTAGAGGCCTAACTCTGCTTATTTTCAATAATCATAGAAAGCCTGAAGAGCTGAAGGACTTAGCCCCAGGCACAAATCCTCCCTTCCTGATATATAACAAGGAGTTGAAAACAGACTTCATTAAAATTGAGGAGTTCCTAGAGCACACACTGGCTCCTCCAAGGTACAACATTTTTACAGGATATTATTGTTCTTGAGATAATCTATTTTATTGGCTTATTTATTGCAGATTGAGGATTCTTCTAAACATCTAACTCTTTTTCAATTTCAGACTTCTCTTTTGCTATCTTTCTAGAAAAGTTTGCAAAGATCCCCCGATCACTCCATGTATGATTAGAAAACTTTACTACATAATTATTTATTTAACATATGTAAAGCTATTAAAACTTTATGTGATGCAAGTAGTATATTAGGAATGGGCAAAGGATAGACTTGGAAATTTAGGAAGGACAAGTAAATTTAGGCCACATTTAATTTTATCCATGTTATCTGATCCATAATGAAGTTTGGGGACATTTATACTGACAGAAGTCAGACTTATTTTATTGTAGAGCCCTCAGAAGATCTACAGTTTTGAAATAGCCTTTAATTCAGTCTGATCTCTTAGCTCTACAGGTTGAGAAATATTATGTCTATCACACATAAACTTCCCCCCTTCAACTTCAAATACACAGAGACAGTCAATATAATATTTCAAATTATTTTTAAAATGCATAGCTTGCTTAAAATAAGAAAGTAAATTCTCTGTAGTCTAGAAATAGAGAAGAAACCTATGGTGGGTTAGGAGCGAGGGCATGGGGTAATAGCACTGTATAGTCCATGAGGACTGGTCAGGACTAGTCCATTATACCACTGATGGCATGAAGATAGAACATACCCAACACAAGAAAACCAAGAAACAGGTCTCTCACAGTTAGCCAGAGGCCATAACTCCACTGTCTACACTTGAATGACAGCTGTATGTCTCTGCCCACCCAGGATAGTATCTGGAAACAATAAGCCTACTGTATTCATTTTTTATTTCTGTGCAACAAACTCAGTGTCTTAAAACGTCACTCATTTATTATCCCACAGTTTTCACTGGTCAGAAGTCTGGCTGTAAACTTAAAACTGCTCTAAAAAATAACGTCTTAATCATTACACATACATATGATGAATAAAAGGTTCTATCGGTCCAAAATTCTTCCTACCTAAGAAATTAGGGATACTACTTTAGATTCTTTTCTGTGTACCTATACTATGTCTCTTTCATCCATTATTGGTGGCTTCTTACATTTTAAGCACCGGCTCCAAGTGTTGAGTCTTATTTTGTTCTTTTCTCCTCATCCATCCTCCTCTACTACTGCCTCCCCTCAAACCATCTCTCCAAACTTTTCTTGCTCCCAAAGGTTAACTAGTGAAAAAATCTATTGTGTTATCTTTCCATACCCGTTTTTATGTTCATATAAGCACAATAACAAATTCCCTTTCCTTCCAGTTTTTTACCACTACAAACAGTGCTATAAATAACATCCTTGCTCATATGTCCTTATGTACTGGTGTTTTTATTCCCGTGGAATAGATTTCCAGGAGTAAAATTCAAATGGTATATATCTTTTAAAATTTTTACTGCTTTATCCATCAGTGTATAAGTATACACTTTTCCCACATATCTGTAGTACTATGCGTTATCACTCTTTTAAAATTCATGGCAACCTGACGGGTGTAGTGATATCTCACTGATACTTTAGTTTGCATTTCCCTGAATAATAGGTGAATTAGAACATCTTTAGACATGTTGGTTGAGCATTTGGTTTTGTTCTGTGAATTACCTTGTCAAATTCTTCTGATTTTCTCTTAGCTTATGTATCATTTAGGGATTGCATTCAACTCTAACTAGAGGCCCAAAAAGTAGTGGTTTAGATAAATATGGGTTTTATTTTTCTTACATAATAAGACACCAAGAATGAGGCATTGTAAGGGTAGAATGACAGCTCCATAATTTCACTGGCGACCCAGGCTCTATCTAATATTTCTTCTCTGCCATTCTTCAGGTGAGTTTTCCAGTCTTAAGTTTAATTCACGGTGACAATATGTCTGCTGGAATTCCAGGCAACAGATCTAACTCCCACACAGGAAGAAGGAGAAGGGCAAAGGGCAAAAGATGCAAGTCAGCTTTAAGGAGCTTTCACAGAAGCCACATTCAACAATTTCCATTAACATCTCATTATTCAGAAGTAAGTCACATAGTCATACCTAAATACAAAGGGAAGCTAGGAAACATAGTTTTCATCCATGTTTATTGCCATCCCTAATAAAATAAGATTCAGTTAATGAGAGACAGAGAGAGAGGGAGAGAGAGAGAGGGAGAACGTGGTACATAACTGTGTTATCTTCCATATTCTGCCCCTCTGACCATCCAAATAAATGTGTGTATCCTTATTCCCATACATGGAACACACTTACTCCCAAGAGAGATAACTCCCAAGTCCCCTACAGTTACTGCATCCAGTTCAAAGTCCAGGATCTTTGAGTGATGCGCAACATCTCTCTTAGATATTAATGGTCAAACAGTCAAATAAATTAAAAGACAAGTTCTTTCCACCTTCTGCTTGACACACGCAATAGTCAGTGGTGGAGCAGGAATTGGATAACTGGAATAAAATCTTCCATTTTTAAAAGGAAATATAGGATAACACATAAAAATCCCTGGTTCATAATAGTTACCATTGTTGGAGAAAACAGCTGGAAGATATTTTCCAAGTTTTGGTGTTACAAACAATGCTAAAATGAACTTTCTTTTGACAAGGTCCTCCAGAGTGGTTATTTAGTCTGCCACATTGCTGAATACAAGAGCTCTTCCATATAATCTTTGTTTCATCTAAAATTTTAAAACGTGTTAGATACCCACATCAATGAAAATGGTGGAGTAGGGAACTCCAAAATGTCATCCCTCCATAATAACAATTAATAGCCCAGCAAAAGCTGTCAGAATCAACTTTGCCAGAACTCTGGAATCTAACCAAAAATTTACAAGCAGCCTGGGGTTTCTTAATGAAGAATAAAGAAGCAAAATTTCAGTAAGAGAGCCCTGTGGCATTTTAGGTTACCCTGTTACCATCCTCAACTACTCAGTTCTTTAGAAGCCTTAAAGAGAGCAGTCCACATTGCAGAAACAGGTTGCTTGTACCAGAGGACAGGATATGGACCTTATTCTCAAATAACTGTGGTTGTGTGGTTTGACCTGGTGGCACCTCGAGGGATTGACTCAAGGGTTTGCCTTTTTTTTCACCTACTTTGGAGCTTCCTCAGGGCTGAGGCAGCTTCCCTGTTGGCACTAATGGAAGGCGTTTAGAAGCAAATGTATTAGCCACTGCCACATGGGACAAGGAATAAAACTTGGAGAAAGCAATAGACAAACTGAAAAGTCTGCAAAAAAAAGAGGCTGAGATGGGACTTCCCTGGTGGTGCAGTGGTTAAGAATCTGCCTGCCAATGTAGGGGCCACAGGTTCAAGCCCTGGTCCAGGAAGATCCCACATGCCATGGAGCAAATAAGCCCATGTGCCACAACTACTGAGCCCACGTGCCAAAACTACTGAGCTCACGAGCCACAACTACTGAAGTCCACGCACCTAGAGCCCATGCTCCACAACAAGAGAAGCCACTACAATGAGAACCCCACGCACCGCAATGAAGAGTAGCCCCCGCTTGCTGCAACTAGAGAAAGCCTGCGTGCAGAAATGAAGACCCAACGCAGCCAAAAATAAATAAATAAATTTATTTTTTAAAAAATAAAGAGGCTGAGACACTTGGGAGATAGTGGAATAAGGGCTTTAAATTAATGTATTCTAGGGAATCTAGAAGTCCAAGCACATGCCCAAGTCTCGACCTATGCGCAGAAAAAACAACCTGAGAAGACTTTAAGCTTTCACTTCTGGCTAAATTCAGGCACCACACAAGTAGAAAGTGAAGGCTAAGGCAGAATTATAAACTGCATACCTAAGCATTGAAGGAGTACCCAAACACAGAGCCAGCTTACAAACACCAGGAGAGCTTTTTATCCCTTGGTTTGTTGTTTGTTTGTTTGTATCTTTGTTTGTTTTGCTTCCAGGAGTTTAAGGAAATCTCTGTCAAATCAATAACTGACCAAAGATAATGAGAAAAAGATTTCAGTGGCCACACACAAGAAAGAACAGACTTTACAAAAATACTTCAGAAAATTCACTAAACAAATAAACAACACCCAAAAAAAGCAACAACAAACCCTATTTGTTGGAAGCGAAGGGAAGAATCTGTTTTCCAGAGTTTCCACATTATAATATTAAAGTGTCCTGTTTTCAAAATATATATATAAGGTATGTCAAAAAAAACAAGGGGCTTCCCTGGGGGCACAGTGGTTGAGAATCTGCCTGCTAATTCAGGGGACACGGGTTCGAGCCCTGGTCTGGGAGGATCCCACATGCCGCGGAGCAACTAGACCCATGAGCCACAACTACAGAGCCTGTGCGTCTGGAGCCTGTGCTCTGCAACAAGAGAGGCTGCAATAGTGAGAGGCCCACGCACCACGATGAAGAGTGGCCCCCGCTTGCCACAACTAGAGATAGCCCTCGCACAGAAACAAAGACCCAACACAGCAAAAATAAATAAATTAATTAATAAACTCCTACCCCCAACATCTTCTTAAAAAAAAAAAACAAGAATGTGTGGCCCATTCACAGAAAAAAAGAAATTAATAGAAATTGTCCCTGAGGAAACCCAGACCCTGATTTAATAGACAAAGACTTTAAATCAACTGTCTTAAATATGTTTAGGTAGCTAAAGAAAACCATGGACAAAGAATTAAAGGAAATCAAGAAAACAATGTCTCAATAAAGAGAGAATATCAATAAAAAATATAAATAATAAAAAGGAATCAAATAGACATTCTGGAGTTGAAAAGTACAATAACTAAAATGAACAATTCACTAGAGGGTTCAACAGCAGATTTGAACAGACAGAAGAAAGAATCTGCAAAACTGAGCATAAGTTAATTGAGAGTATCCAGTCTAAGGAAAAGGAAGAAAATTAACAGAGCCTAACAGACCTGTTGGATACCATAAACTGTACAAAGATACACATGATAGGGAAGAGATGGCAGAGAGAAAGAGGCAGAAAGAATATCTGAGGAAACAATGGCTGAAGAC